TTTCCACATTTAACCCTTCTGGCGATAATGTCTGGAGTTCATAAATCCATTGGGTTTCATTTTTTTAAATTTCTCTGATCATGTGTGACCCCTTCCAATGCCTATCTACTTTATCTATGGCAAGGAAGGACAATTGTGAGGGATCCTTGTTGTGAACTAATCTAAAATGGTTGGGTACACTGTGCTTGGGGTATCCATTTTTTATATTTGTTATATGTTCACTGATCCTTTTTGTGAGTTTGCGGGTAGTCCCTCCCTATATATTGATACCACATGTGCAGATCAACATATACAGTGAAGGAAATAAGTATTTGATTCTCTGTTGATTTTGAATGTTTGCCACTCACAAAGAAATGATCAGTCTAAAAATCGAATGGTAGGTGTATTGTAACACTGAGAGACAGAATAGCAACCACAAATTCAAAAGAAATGCATGTCTAACAAATTATACACTGATTTGCATGTTCATGAGGGAAATAAGTATTTGATCTCCTATCATTCAGCAGGATTTCTGGCTACCAGGTGTCTTTCATATAGGTAACAAGCTGAGATTAGAAGCAGTCTCTTAAAGGGAGTGCTGCTAATCTCATTGTGTTGCCTGTATAAAAGACACCTGTCCATAGGAGCAATCAAACAATCAGATTCCAAACTCTTCACCATGGCAAAGAGCTGTCCAAGGATGTCAGGGACAAGATTGTAGACCTACACAAGGCTGGACTGGGCTACCAAACTATCGCCAAGCAGCTTGGTGAGAAGGTGACAACAGTTGGTGCAATCATTCGCAAATGGAAGAAACACAAAACAACTGCCAGCCTCCCTAGGTTCGGTGCGCCATGCAAGATCTCACCTCTGCTCAAGAAAGCACATATCCAGGCCTGTCTGAAGTTTGCCGCTGAACATCTGAATGATGCAGAGGAGGACTGGTTGAAAGTGTTGTGGTCAGATGAGACCAAAATTGAGCTCTTTGGCATCAACTCAAGTCGCTGTGTTTGGAAGAGGAGGAATGCTGCCTATGACCCCAAGAACACCATCCCAACTGTCAAACATGGTGGTGGAAACATAAATATATAAATGCAGCGCTTAAGAGTGATAAACACAGTCCGGTGAAAGGAGTGCTCCGTGATTCCTAGTGTAAATGGTGGAAATTTACACTAACCAGAAAGCGTAAATTAAAACGCATGTGTGTATATATCCTATGAGATCGCCTTCTCCACTCGGATCTGGTCAGAAGAATAGCCGGGAAAGGTAGGTGTCCTGCGCCCTCATGTGGTGAAAGTGTGGTCCAGCAGGTCAGAAAGATGCCAATCTGAGAAAAGTCTCCCCCGTCCTAGAAGATCCTGAGGGGCTGTGAAAATGCAAGAAGCTCCTCACAGGAGACACAGGGGAGTACTCATAGTGTAGTAGATAGTAGATAAGGCTTTATTTATAAAACATCTGTGCACAATGAACAGGGTATAGGCAGATATGGATGAAACACACTGACCCCTTGATAACAAAGATGGCCGCCGGGCCTCCTCGTGGCGCCGGCGGCTTAGTGTCAACGACGTCCTGGGTCCCACCTGACGCGTTTCGTGCGCACGCACTTCTTCAGAGGTAGGAACAAAGGAACCGCCGTGACCGTCTTTTCTGACATTTATACCGTAACTGGCGCATGCGCACTGATGCGGCGCCATCTTGCCGAAGTCCGGGCGTCCGCACTTATTCAAGTGCGCATGCGCGAGTGCCATTTTATCATGGGCCAGGGGTGAGTGCAGAAATATAAAAGCGGCTCGCTCCTAGTGGAGTCCGGGCGTCTGTATTTGCGCAAACGCGCATGCGTAGACGCCATTTTGCCATGGGAACAAGAAGACATGGTGCCAAGCGCTGACAAAGGCCGTCTTGATGAGGACAGATGTCATATGCGCTGTGATAAAATTAAAAAAGAATAGTCTTTGTGGAAAAGACTCTTTAGAGGAGATATCCAATGTGAAACGTTGTATGGGGGAAAATTTTTTTAAATTGAATTAAAGGAATTCCCAAACAATATAAAATAGCCAGGACAAGGGCTCATAGAGTGAGTGGTGAATAAACCACTGTCATAACTAGGGGGGCCAATATATTCAAAACCCCATAATATAAACCGATGATAGAATATAAATTTTGATAAAATGTCACGCCCCAATCATAGGTATAATCCTATCCATTAGGCCAAAGCAACATGATAAAATGGCATTAAAATTGTTTGTAAATACCTATCATATGGGGGTTCAAACCCACAATAGTAGGGTATTCCAAAGTAAGATAAATATCCGTTTAAATTGGCTAGCAAAATAATAGCAATGCTAAAACGGGCATATATTAAAAGCATGTAACATAAATGCAGAATAAAAAACCGTCATACAAATGGCTGAAAATAAGTTACTAGAATGGATGCGCAAAAGTAAATTATCATGCATAGAGTTGAAATAAAAGAATAAATGTAAAATGGCTCCTAGTGAACTCAAAGGTATATCAGCATGATTTCATGAAGACCCACAAAAGTTCAGCTGTTATCAATGTAACAGTTGACATCAAGCTCAATGTTCAAACCTGCGGGATACAAAGTGTCCAATTCAAAGATATATTTGGTCTCCATCTGTGAGACTGCCCTGGTTTTGAAAGTTCCTCTCCAGTGTGAGGTGACTACATCAATACCAACAAATCTCAGACTGGAGGGGTCTCTATGGTAAAATGATAAAATGGCACTCGCGCATGCGCACTTGAATAAGTGCGGACGCCCGGACTTCGGCAAGATGGCGCCGCATCAGTGCGCATGCGCCAGTTACGGTATAAATGTCAGAAAAGACGGTCACGGCGGTTCCTTTGTTCCTACCTCTGAAGAAGTGCGTGCGCACGAAACGCGTCAGGTGGGACCCAGGACGTCGTTGACACTAAGCCGCCGGCGCCACGAGGAGGCCCGGCGGCCATCTTTGTTATCAAGGGGTCAGTGTGTTTCATCCATATCTGCCTATACCCTGTTCATTGTGCACAGATGTTTTATAAATAAAGCCTTATCTACTATCTACTACACTATGAGTACTCCCCTGTGTCTCCTGTGAGGAGCTTCTTGCATTTTCACAGCCCCTCAGGATCTTCTAGGACGGGGGAGACTTTTCTCAGATTGGCATCTTTCTGACCTGCTGGACCACACTTTCACCACATGAGGGCGCAGGACACCTACCTTTCCCGGCTATTCTTCTGACCAGATCCGAGTGGAGAAGGCGATCTCATAGGATATATACACACATGCGTTTTAATTTACGCTTTCTGGTTAGTGTAAATTTCCACCATTTGCACTAGGAATCACGGAGCACTCCTTTCACCGGACTGTGTTTATCACTCTTAAGCGCTGCATTTATATATTTATGTATTGTGGGACTTCTTATGCGTTTTCCTGTATGTTCAGCTGCTGCCATCAGTATTGAGCGCTTACTGTTTATTTTATTCTATATGGTGGTGGAAACATTCTGCTTTGGGGTGCTTTTCTGCTAAGGGGACAGACAACTGCACCACATAAAGGGAGGATGACAGGCAATGTACCATTAAATCTTGGATGAGAACCTTCTTCCCTCAGCTAGGGCATTGAAAATGGGTCGTGTTTGGAGGAATGCTGCCTATGACCCCAAGAACACCATTCCAACTGCCAAACATGGTGGTGGAAACATTCTGCTTTGGGGGTGTATTTCTGCTAAGGGGACAGGACAACTGCACCGCATCAAAGGGACGATGGACGGGGCAATGTACCATCAACTCTTGGGTGAGAACCTTCTTCCCTCAGTCAGGACATTGAAAATGGATCGTGGATGGGTGTTCCAGCATGACAATGACCCAAAACATATGGCCAAGGCAACAAAGGAGTGGCTCAAGAAGAAGCAGATTAAGGTCCTGGAGTGGCCTAGCCAGTCTCCAGACCTTAATCCCATTGAAAATCTGTGGAGGGAGCTGAAAGTTCAAGTTGCCAAACATTAGCCACCAAACCTTAATGACTTGGAGAGGATCTGCCAAGAGGAGTGGGCCAAAATCCCTCCTGAGATGTGTGCAAACCTGGTGGCCAACTACAGGAAATGTTTGACTTCTGTGATTGCCAACAAGGGATTTGCCACCAAGTAATAAGTCATGTTTTGTGAGGGGGATCAAATACTTATTTTCCTCAATTTGTTAGACATGCATTTCTTTTGAATATTTTGTTGCTATTCTGTCTCTCAGTGTTAAAATACACCTACCGTTCGATTTTTAGTCTGATCATTTCTTTGTAAGTGGGCAAACATTCAAAATCAGCAGGGGATCAAATACTTATTTCCTTCACTGTAGGTCACAAATTTAGTCTGGCAAGTAATGAAAGTTTTGATGTTATACTGTCTATATGTTTGGTGGGACATGAACGTGTTAATTTATCTTGGCATTTTTTGAGTGGTTTTGCATGGTCCACATTTCCCACATCTATAAAAACCTCCTTCTTGAAAAAGAGCGTTTTTTTTGGGGGGTTTGGGATATTATGTACCAGTTTCGTTCTCAAACTGGGCACTCTCTGATAGATAAATGATGGTTTTCTGGGGAGTATAGTTTTGAGTGTGGGGTCCTTGACATTGCTGGATCAAGAGAGAACTCGGATAAGTGTTATGGGGGGCTGTTACACACATACATAGAATGCATGAAGGTAAAAACCCTTGAAACATCAGAACCACTTTACCATACTGTAAAACTTGAATGTCACTGATGGTGTCTATAAGAAGGTACAGAAGACAGTTTATGAGTGTAGCTTCAGAGGGGAAGGCAGCAACATGCACCAGTTCTTATCTCCTTTACTGCCTAGGCCAATTTTCAGTTTTCAGCGCTGTCGCTCTTTGAATGACAATTTCATGGTCATGCAACACTGCACTCAAACAAAAGTTTATTCTCTTTTTTTAGACATATAGAGCTTTCTTTTGGTGGTATTTAACCACCTCTGGGTTTTTTATTTTTTGCTAAACTAAAAAAGACTGAAAAAAAAACTTTTCTTAGTTTCTGTCATAAAATTTTGTAAATAAGTAATTTTTCTCCTTCACTGATGTGTGCTAATGAGGCTGCAGTGATGGGCACTGATGGGCATTGACAGGCATCACTGATGGGCACTGAAAGGCAGCACTCATATATGGCACTGATAGGTGGCACTGATTGGAACTGTTAGGCGGCACTGACTGGCATTGATAGGCAGCACTGATAGTTGGCACTGGAAGGGCTCTGATGGGCACTGATATGTGGCATTGATCTGCACTGGTAGGCAGTGATATGTGTCATTGATGTGCACTGGTAGGCAGTGATATGTGGCTTTGATGTGCACTTGTATGTGGCAATGATAGGGACAGGTGGCATTGATGGGCACTGACAAGGTGGCATTGACGGGGCTACACTGATCATCAGTGCCCTGTTGATCAGTGTAGATGTCTCCTCTGGGGAATGCCGATTACTGGCTCTCTCCTCCTCATGAGCTGTCAGCATGAAAAAGAGGACTGCTGATAACAGGCATTTTCTTGTTTGCATGCGATCAGCTGTGATTGGACACAGCTGATCACATGACAGAGCTGATGTCATCGGCTCTTTAGTGTGATCGGTGATCCTCTGTGTCCGAGGGACACAGTGCACTGCTGATCGCCACGCCGTGCACCCCCGGGGGTGCTCATGCGCAGTTATAGTGGGAGGATGTCATATGATGTCCTCCCAGAGTTAGAGTCACCGCCCGCCTATCATTTCCTTATATGGCGGGCAGGAGGCAGTTAAATCAGGTCCTTCAGAGGCGAAGGCAGCAACATGCACTTGTCCTCCTTATCTCCCTTTGAATGAAATTCTTCAGAGGGGGAGGCAACATCACCAGTACTTCTTACTTTCCTTTGAATAAGGCTGTTGGTTTGGAAGGCGAATCTGGCATAAGAAGTATCAGTGCGTTGATACGCCACACTAATCCTTCCTTGATTACTTTGACCTCTAATTTCCTAACCTTCTCATCATTACATGGTACAGTCTTTGTACTGAGACCCATAAGCCAATGGTTGCAGAGGGCATCCCTTTCTTTCAAGATGTCTGTCACCCACCTGTAAGTTGGTGTTGCTAGTTTGACATTTGCCAAAATCTTGAAAGTTGCAAAGGTACTCCTATTTCCAAAAACTTCAGAAGACTGAACCGGTTAGTGAAGTTGTGCTTAATCAGTCACCTGAGAGCTCTGCCATTTGCTGTTGTTGGTGCCTTCCTAGTACCTTCTGATACTTGACATATTTGTGAAGGATGGAGAATATGCATCTTTTCATCTTGACAATCCAAAAATATGCAAATCTTACTGATCCTTCTGTAAAGTGCTCTCCTTGGTGCTGAACTTGCTGGTGGTCATGTTGAACCAGTAATGCAGTGGTGTGATGTTGACCTGGAACTATAAGGGGATTATGTTCTTCATTGAACAGATTGTATTTCCCTATGCAACCTCCAACTTGTTATCAATCAACGTTAGCTCTGATTTCCTTATCAGTCTCAGGATTAACCAGTTAAAATGTAGAATCAGTGTGAACTGTGATGGGTTCATCGTTGTTGTGATACCATCGGAACCTAAGGAAGTTTCTGTTGTCTTCTCGAACGATGAAACAGTGAAATTTTTGCTGAATTTCAATCCTAACCACAACTGGTTCTTGTCTGAAGCACAGCAAATCTGCTATAAGGCTGTTCAGATTTGGCCAGGTGAGGACGTCATTGAAGAAAACAAATTCATATCAAGCTCTGGAGTCGAAGACCACTCTGATCTGGCTTGCGAGGATGCTATACACCAAAGCATGGGAGGTACCAACGTTCCTCTCCTTCCCTAAGAGGTGGTGAAGGCTCAGCATAATTTCTTGCAACAACCTTCTGCATAAAGTCAACAAAGTATTTTCATCTCAGGTTTTCTGTTTACGGTGCATCGTAAAGCAGTAAATCATGCTTCTGCATACTGAACATTATTTGAGAGCTTCTTTCTTGAGGCACAAAATGGTAGTAGTGCCACCCAGCTGTTGGAATTGCCCTGGCAGAACTCCTTACTCATAGTTTTCAGGACTCCTTGTCTTCCATGGTGGCTGCCAGCTCATTGTCTTTAACTTTGGTGCCAACATCATCCCAGAAATGAAGAGTCCTGTTATTTCCTTGTGTGAAGAACGATTGTATGCCTTTACTACAAAGTCTGTCCTTGACATGGTATTGATATAGGCACTGTACGTAACAGGTAATGTGAGCATTTGGAAGGCATTTCTGTCAAGAGCTGGTATGTGCTATATCTCTCAGGTGAGAGTGGTGAAAGGCAGCTGCAGGAGTAGGGATTCTTTTCTCCATTGGTTGGAATCTAGTTGCACTTCATGAGAGTGGGCAATGGTATTTCTACACTGCCATTCAGGGGAACTTCTACAAGACCAGTGGCTCTCCTGCCTGAACCTTCTGTAATTCCAGCTCACACACCTAGGTGTATGGTAAGGCCTTTCATGTTATGTTTAACAGGTCAAAAAGCTTTTATATTGAAGGATACTGGTTAATCTTATCATCTAGAATGGTATACAGTCTTATAGCCTTTTCAAGTTGACCCTTGGGGTATATGCAAACTATGCATATTTTGGAACAGGATTTGTCACAGAGGACTTCTCCATAGACATCTGTACCTGTTCAGAAAACTGGAGTATAAAGCAGTGTGTTTTTCAGGCCATGCTTTGCCTCAGAAAGATTACCTGTAGACATAGTGGGATGTCTTGAAATGGATGAAGCACTTACACATAATCATCACTGTCACATTGTATACATTTAATAATAGCCTTACAATCTTTAGCATGGTGTTTTGTGGAAGTACAGCATTTGAAGTAAACCCCAAATTTCTTTGCGTACTGGCAAAGGTTTCTTTCTGAAGCTGATACACTTTGTAAGTGGGTGTGGTTTTGTTATGTACGGGACATTGCCAATTTGATCTTGATTTTCTTGTGCTATTCAGTTTTTTCAAGGACTGTAATAGGTGCAGGTAGAATATCAGTCCTTTGCACAGACATTGGACCTCTGCAGTCTCTATGTGAAATGCATTAGCATGCAGGCCTGGGAGAAGGTGGACTCCCCAAAGGAGAAACTTGGATCATTCTTAGTATTTATAATTTTCCTAATGAATTTGAAAATGTAGAAAAAGAACTTATTTTTTTTTTTAATTTCCTTATTTAGGACACAAAGTACAGGTGAGTATGTGATGGATAAACAAACATTCCTCCAACACATCTGAGATACATCCATAACATATATATATACAGCCATAGAAACATTTGGCATGTTTGTAAAAAAAAAAAAATAACCAAAACCGCCGAACATCCAGCCAGCCCTGCCAGATCATCTGGAGTTTTCCGTGGGCATTACGATGCTGGCACTAAAGAGTTTACGAATTCCGCTCATTGTTTACTGGATGGGAGGGGGGGTAGGTGACATCCACTGTGTAGCAATTAACTTTCTGGCAAGATACAACAGTCTTGAGATCATAATATAAACCCCAGGTTGAAATAATTCCTGATCTAAAGTTCCTGTCACGTACCTGGGTAGTGAGCCTGACGTGAAGAGGCAGGCTTCTCGTACAACTCCGGCTCAAGGACTGCTGAGGTGAAACAGCGGTCGCAGGGGCATGGTGGGGTATGAGTGCCTGTGATCAGTCCAGTAATAGCAGGTGAGCTGATGAGTTGTAGGCAAGTAGCAGGGTTCTGATGTAGCCGTTCGGGATGGATGGATACTCGAGTGCAGCATGCTGAGGATGCAGGGTCAGATGAGCCGGGATCGGTATTGGTCAGGCAGGTCAGGCTTACAGCGGCAGGAGGAAGAGTAGTCAGATCACAGGCCAGGCCAGCAACGGAAGATTATTCAGATAGGAGCGGAGACAGAAGAATAATCCAAGACCAGCCAGAGGTCAGGGCAAGAAGCAATCAAGCGGAGATCAGGAACAGGCTGGTTCGGTATCAGGAGACAATCACAGGAATCAGGGAACACGAGCAGGGAAAAAGACCATACAGCAATGGGACAACTACTGCAGCCAGTTTAAATAGCCCTTTTGGAGCCAGCATTAGTGAAAGGCACGCGTCCGCATGTGCGAGTGCGCACGCCAATGTCCAAGTACCTGCACATCTGTTTGGCTCGTAAGGACTCTGCGCATGCGCATATTTGTGCGCCGCGGAACTTTACCTGCACTATGGGCAGGCCTTTCGTGACAGTTCCTAGTAGGCAGACTAATGATCTTGAGGAATAGACTCTTGTGCCACTGTTTGAAACTTTACGTTGCCTCTGCTAGACATTTCTGGGAAGCTTTGCAACCTTTTAAATAGAGCATCTTCAATGGCTTCTGGGTTGCTGAAGCAATGCTCAAGTCTGTCCCAAGAAGCATAAATCTGTGAAAGGTTTGTCAATGTGAACAGCTTTGAGTCTTTTGATACATTTAGCAGATTGATAACCTGGCCCCCCCGATAAGCATATTTAGTTCTTCTGTAGTTATTACATCCAATTCACAGATTGTGGCTTTGAAGGTGGCTTTCCAGTCTCTGTAGTTTTCAGGTTTGTCATCGAAAAAGACCTGTATTGGTGAGCTCTTTGCAAGCATGTACTTAAACTGTGACAAGTCCGTGTTTGCAGACTTTGGACGCACAGCTACATATGGAACACAGTTAATGAAATTGACTGATGTGCTGAGATTAAGCGACTTTGGAATGTATTGCGATGCAGAGGTGTTCTTAGCTGGCACTAGCATATAGCTGACTGCTGGGCTGGGTTGCAGTTGTAGAGCAGTGTACTTTGTAGGAGGTATTTGACTAGCCACACGATAAGATGTACTGTTTATTATCTGCATTACAGTGTCTACAGTTTGCTGCAGCGCAAATGTCCAGTGTACTGGGGAATGAGTAGGCAGATTGTCTGGAGAGGCAGTAGGCGTGGTGTACTAACTTTGGCTGAGGGATACAGCTGCTATGGCTGGGAGCTAAAGTTTTGGAAGAGTGCGACAAATAGGATTCAACTGAGTGTCTGCTGCTGTTACATTTACTTTCGCTAGCAGCTTGCTCTAAAAAACCTCTAATGTTGCCACGGTTGTGTAGTGTACAAGCTTTTACTTTCACCTCTGCTTCCATCTGTGCTTTCTTGTTAGCAGTTTCTGCCTCCATCTCTCCTTTCTTGCATGCAGTTCTATAGCTTCTGCCTTCATCTCTGCTTTCTTTGGGGGCAAAGACTGCCTGAAATTAGAAGCTTCAGTGTCAGCATGGGCTTTAATAACTTGTTGGCTGACGGTGATCTGAAGGAGTACCTCATAGATGCAGAGCTATTTTCACTTCTGCCTTTGTAGTAACTAAGTTGTCTCTCTAGATTAAGCTCATCATAT